ATGGTTGTAAATTAATTTAATTATTTATTTGTATTAGTTAATTATTTGAAATGTTTATTTTATTTGTTTTACGTTTAACAAACAATAAACTAATCAACATGATTCATTAATAGTGAATTTACATAACTTAGAGCAATTAATAGCGAATTATAAATCCGCATTGGTGGTTGTAATTGCCAGGGTATATAAGCTGGCTGAAAAGTCAATATTAAATTTAGTATATTTATTTCAGTTGCCTAAACTATAGTAGTACAGTAAATAAATATATTTTATTATTTTTATTTAATATTATATTTGCATAAATAAATTTAATTAAAACTTTTGTACAATTAATTTATTTGTCAAAATGAATTCATTAAATTTGTGGGCTTTAATTTTAATATCGTGTCACATCATGGTATCTGGTAATACTACCAACCGGAAACCACAGGTATAAATATTACTTAAAATAAATTAATGTCTAGTAAATTGTTAAAAATTAATATTGTTAATGAATTACTATAAAAATAAATTCCTACAACACTATATATAAAAATTGTACCATGTTTAAACAATTAGATATTGACCACGAACGATGATAAATCGGCGGTCAGAGTGCAGATCTATTATTCGCCTTTAAGTACAAATGCGATCAACTTATTGAGAGCCCATAGGGATGGTCAGGCCGGCGGTATTTATGCGATGGTCAACGCCGCAGCCACCGCACCCACCACGGTCAAATATACATTGGATGTAGATTTTATACCATGGGGTACAGCAACTAGGACAGTGGTCCAAAACAAATTTGCGTACCAGTGCCAAAACAATGATGCTGAGTGTAAAGGCACCAGACTTCATGTAAGTGTATATTTGTATTAATTTTTATTGAAATTAATTTTTTTTAGATTATCAATATCAATTATTAATTGCTTAAAAAACAACAGGCTTGCATAGCGCGTGGTCGCATTAGCCAATACACCACATTTAACAAATACACCATGGTGATGTGTACAACGGCTGGTACTGATTGGGCCACAAACCCCCTGGCTAATTTGGAAACCTGTGCCACTTCTACCAACCAGATTGAGGGCGACGGACCGCTATTAACAACCTGTGCCGCAGATGCCAGCGTTGACGGGAACGGCTATTTAGATGAAACAATGGGCGCTACCATTGCTCTCAATCATGACATGACTGGTATGATTGACTTGTATTATTGTGTTTTAATTAAGTGAATTTATATATTTTTCAGAGCCTGTGATTGTGATCAATGGTATGGTTAATACGGCAGCGGTAGCCAATCTTAAAAATCAAGTGTGCCTGGCTATTGACGTAAGTGTGCTTTAATTATTTAGTTAACGTGTTAATAATATTTATGAGAATAATTTGCATGCAAAATGATAAAGTTTTAACAATTTTGTATTATTAACAAATTGGAGTTTAAATATTTTCATCATTATATGTCTCTATTGCATTTAATTCAATTAGAAAATATAACAATGATTTACCAATATATGCAAATAACTAATGTTTAATAGACAACTAATAGATAATAAACACAATAAACAATTAACTTGTAGTTATTTTTACAATAGTTATAATACTTATATTGTACTCTAAATTTATAGTGGCAGCATTATAATTAACTGTTAGAATTATATAATAATCTATTGTGAAAAATTAATTGTTAACATATTAATTCATATTTTTAAATAATTTATATAGGCAGCTAACCGGCCAGCCACAGAGTGCGCCGGTATAGTTGACCCGACTCCGGTCAAATCAAAGGTCAGCGTACAGGTCTATTACACACCATTGGCCCAGAAGTCTATTGACTTTATCGCGCTTAACGCCGAGGGAAACGCTCGTGGTGTTTATGGTTTAATTAAGAACCAGTTGGCGGACAATGCCCAGGTCAAATATGACATTAATTTTGAGTATATACCGTGGGGTAGAGCCACCAAAACCCGTACAACTGATGATAAAGTGCAATATACTTGTGTAGAGGGAGACACTGATTGCAAGGCAACCAGACTTCATGTAAGTATTTTATCAATGTAAAAAAGATAGTGAGTCAGTGGAGAGAGAGAGAGAGAGAGAGAGAGAGAGAGAGAGATCTTTGGACATATAATAATATAATTAAAAGATTTTATATTTTGCTATTATACTTAAATAATTGAAATATATTTAATTTAAGTATATAAGTAAATATTTATTTTTAATTAAATTAAGTTTAAATAATTTAATTTAAAAATTCACAACTTACCACTGCAAATTATATTTATTTGACTATATTTTGCAAATACAATTTTTAATTATTATGTTTTTAATTATGACATAATCTACTAATACTGTTACTGACCGGGAGCAACTAAATTAGTTCTAATATATAATTTATTATATAAAATTATTGAATGTAATTTTGCGCTACGCTTGTTACATCAAGCCTGACATTTAACAAAATGCAACATTCTGTAATTCTTTATATACGTAATTCTTTTATCTTTATTGCACTAGTGTAATTTTTAATATACAAAAATTAGTTTGTAATTCGTAATAGCATAAATAATAAATTTGTAATACTAAGTTCTACAAACAGGTTAAATTATATGAGTGAGTCCTGTTATTACCAACAAAATCATGTATTGCAAACAATATGATCAATTTTGTACTTAATAGGCTATTAATAATAGCGTTGTGTACTTTCAAGACATACTTGCCGGTACTAACATTTAATTATAGAAGGTTACGGTATTTAAATAATTAAGATTTAATATGAGTGTGTAGGCTTTATCATTTTATTAGTTTGTAAACATAAATTGTTTGTGTAATTATCACTACCTGTACATAATTTAGGTAAATGTAATCCTAGTAGAGATCCTTATTATTCGCGTTATTCATCAATATAGATTGATCATATTATTATTATTATTTTGTTTTGTTTTGTTAAATAATTAAAATAAGTAATTTCAAATAAATTGTATGAAATTTTATTTTTTATATTTGATTTAATAAAAATTAATTAGTAATTATTATAAAATTGTTAATAGTTCTTATAAAAAAGTTAGTGTTAGGTTTTATAAAGTACAATGTTTATACTGTATACACTCACAATTGTATTTTAATCAAATATCTTAAGTCAATAAAATTGTATATATAATCGCGAAGCAATGATAATTAAATTAATGATTTGTAAACACTAGCATTTATGATAAATTAATCTAATTTAGTAAGAATTAGTCATGACCATATTTATTTAACATAAGAAATATATCTGCGAATGCTTAGAGTAATAGTTTATATTAAAATATAGTTAAATGTACATGTTAAATTACATTCTCTCTCTCTCTCTCTCTCTCTCGTACTCTAACTCACTCTTATATCAATATCTAAAGTATCATAAAAAGATAGTTTTATAATGAAAATCAAATCGGAATTTTTATAACTAGATAAATTACTTTATTAATTATTTTAAACTAAATCATAGGAGATATAATAAAACATAATAAAAATATTGCAATAACTTTATAATATAACTCTCTTTGCTTAAGACTTTTATAAATGTTATAAATTAAATAACTTTTTTACTTAAATAATAATATAACATAAAATCTGTACTTGTAACATATGATATGTAACATTAAGTTTCACGTCGTGATCACATAGCATTGTAAATGACCATGATAATGGTGGAAACCACAGTAAACATGTTCACATAGACGGCCGCACCGGCAGCGGTAGTTGACTCGTTAGCATCGGTGCTACTACTGGGTACAGGAGCTGGTGTTGTGCAAACCGGAGGCTCAGCCGGTAAATTGCACACATCAGGTCTACTTTCAGGCTTATAAATAAAATAATAATGTCAATTATTTAATCAATAAACAACATTGATTACAATATAAATTCTGTACATACCGGCAACGCATAGCACACTTCAGTCCGGAGATCAGTCAATGCCTTCGCATTGCGTTTGCCATTGATTAGCACAACCGGATCAGTAGCTAACCATGATACATTTTAAAACAAAATTTAAGATAAATACCATGTTATTACAAAATAGTAATTAACAAATTACCCTCAGTAATTAGTGGATTGAGTTGACTGGTAGCACCAAACATTTCGTTTAGATAGGCGTTGCCATCTGTGCTCTCTTTGCCGGCACATGTGGTTAACACAGTATTATCGAGGGCTACATTATTGATCTTATTGGCACAAAAAGCCACTTTATCGAGAGGGTTTGCTTTCCAGGTGCCCTCCGTAATGGTGCAAACGATCATCAAAAATTGCTGACCCGCTTTCAACAGGGTGTTGTGGTTTTTCTCTATGCATGCCTGTTTGATTATTTATTGAATTTTAAATTGCAATTAATATAGCTCAACATAAAATTTTACCTTATGTTATTTATTAATAGTTTTAAATATATTTTTTTAATTAAATTTCTCACTATCTCTCTTACAATCATAAAATACTCACATGAAGTCTGGTTGCCTTGCAATCAGTATCTCCCTCTACACAAGTATATTGCACTTTATCATCAGTTGTGCGGGTTTTGGTGGCTCTACCCCACGGTATATACTCGAAATTAATATCATATTTGACCTGGGCATTCTCTGCCAACTGGTCCTTAATTAAACTATAAACACCACGGGCGTTTCCCTCGGCGTTAAGCGCGATCAAATCAATAGATTTCTGGGCGAATGGTGTGTAATAGAGCTGTACGTTGACTTTTGATTTGACCGGAGTCGGGTCAACTACACCAGTGCACTCTGTGGCTGGCCTGTTAGCTGTCTATATAAATTAATTATAAATATTAATTAATATATTAACAATTAATTTTTCACAATAGATTATGATACAATGTTAACTATTAATTATAATGTTGACATTATATTAAATTTAATTTAAACTGTATAACTATGCAGGGTCACTATAAATTTAGAGTACAATATAAGTATTATAACTATTGTAAAAATAACCACAAGATTATTGTTTATTGTGTTCATTATCTATTATTAGTTGTCTATTGATTATTAGTTAATTACACATATTGGTAAATCACTGTTATATTTTCTAATTGAGTTAAGTGCAATAGTGATAAATTGTTAAAACCTTAATTTGTTATTAATACAAAATTGTTAAAACGTTGTCATTTTTATGAAATCTGTAGTCAGAAGTAATATTAACACGTTAAATATATAATTAAAGCAAACTTACGGCAATAGCCAGGCACACTTGATTTTTAAGATTAGCTACAGCTGCCGTATTAACCACACCATTGATCACAACCACAGGCTCTAAAAAATACAAAAATCACTAGTATTAAAATCTAATTACCAACATTAATTATTTAATTAAAACATTATAATAATAAAAGCCAAACCTACCAGTCATGTCATGATTGAGAGCAATTGTAGCGCCCATTGTTTCATCTAAATAGCCGTTACCGTCAACGCTGGCCTCTGCGGCACAGGTTGTTAATAGTGGTCCGTCACCGTCAATCTGGTTGGTAGAAGTGGCACAGGTTTCTAAATTGGCCAGGGGGTTTGTGGTCCAATCAGTGCCCGCTGTCGTACACATTACCATTCTGTATTTGTTAAAGTTGGTATATTGGCTAATGCGACCACGCGCTATGCAAGCCTGTTGTATTTTGAGTAATTATTAATTGATCATTTTGATTTAAATAAAATTTGATTTCAATAGTTAATAAATAAATAATATACACTTACGTGAAGTCTGGTGCCTTTACACTCAGCATCATTGTTTTGGCACTGGTACGCAAATTTGTTTTGGACCACTGTCCTAGTTGCCGTACCCCATGGTATAAAATCTACATCCAATGTATATTTGACCGTGGTGGGTGCGGTGGCGGCCGTATTGACCATTGCATAAATACCGCTGGCCTGGCCATCCCTATGGGCCCTCAATAAATTGATTGCATTTGTGCTTAAAGGCGAATAATAGATCTGTATTCTAACCGCTGATTTATCATCGTTCGTGGTCATTATCTAATTGTTTAAGCATGGTACAATTTTTATATATAGTATTGTGTAAATTTTATGTTTTATAGTAATTAATTAACAGTGTTTATAAATTTAAAATTAATGATTAACGATTTATTAAGACTAACATTTATTTTAGTTAATATTTATACCTGTGAATTCCGGTTGGTAGTATTACCAGATACCATGATGTTACACGAAATCAAAATTAAAGCCCACAAATTTAATGAATTCATTTTGACAAATAAAGTAATTGAAAAAAGTTTTAATTAAATTTATTTATGCAAATATAATATGAAATAAAAATAATAAAATATATCTATTTGCTGTGCTACTATAATCTAGGTAACTAAAATAAATATACTAAATTTAATATTGACTTTTCAGCCAGCTTATATACCCTGGCAATTACAACCACCAATGCGGATTTATAATTCGTTATTAATTGCTCTACGTTATGTAAATTCACTATTAATGAATCATGTTGATTAGTTTATTGTTTGTTAAACGTAAAACAAATAAAATAAACATTTCAAATAATTAACTAATACAAATAAATAATTAAATTAATTTACAACCATATTATTATAGAAGCGCTATACGGATTTTATCAATATCATATAGATAATGTTCCATGTAAAAAATGTGATTTCATTTTAAATTTTGGCAAAATATACACCTTTACCAATAATTTGACAACTATAAAATAGCATACTTATATTATACGGCAAATGTGCAATAATTTATATTGCTATGTGGTTTAATGAAAATCCGGAATGTATCAACTAATGTCAATATTGGATAATGATAATAAAAATATCAAATGTACTATACACAGGTATTATATTGAGATTAGTATCTGACTCATATTTTGTTTAATGATATATTAAGATGTTAATGCTATAGGATATAATAATTAGTTTTGTTTGATAATATCATTTTACGATAATAAACTTTAAGTTTAAATTAAAGATATAACCATGCGAGTTTTACCATATTTAACTAACAGTCATAATTAGTGTTGCCAACTCTTATCGACCTCCGCCTTGAAAAATCCGAAATTTTTCAAAATTCACCTTGCCAAAACCTTGACCACTATTATTATTGCATATTTGATTGCAAATATTTTTGAAATATGAGCAAAATGTAAATTTAGATTTTAATTTAATTAAGTTTTATTATAATACAGTGTATTTTTCATATAAGATACGGGATATTTGAAGACAAAAGTATTTCTTATGAAAGGTTTTTAATAAAGGGTTTGTTTTGCAATTATTCAAATAGCAATAAATATTATTCTGGATTTTAAATAGTGTGTTTATTACAATAAATACCTAAAATAGACATACGGTAATTACATTTGCTCTCACCTTGACCTGTCTATGTCAAGGTGAGGCCCTCGCCTTTCGCCTTGACCAAAACCCTCTCACCTTGCAAATCAAGGCAAACCTTGACCAGTTGGCAACCCTA